AGCATAGGATCCCGCCCTTCTCCTAACTGCTCGAGACCGCCTCCGTGGTGTAGTGGTTAGAGCGTCCGCCCGGAGAGCGGAAGGTCGCGGGTTCGATCCCCGACCGCGTCATACCAAAAGACGTTAAAATATGGTACTTGTTGGTCCCTGCCTGGCACTCGGCATTAAATGGACTGGTTGGCTCGGAGTCAGTATAATGTGTCTGAGTGGAGTATTCATGCCTTACTGCGGCATGGCATTTCAGTGGGCTAGCACTATAAAACCAGCTTAAATCTGAGCTAGTACAAGCAGCCACACATACACATACACACGCATGCACGTCGTCATGTAAGCGAAATATTCTCAAGCACGATGTTAATCCCAATTTCACCTCACCTCACCTAACTGCTCGAAGAGCTTCACAGTACAATACACATTTGTTCATATCTATACTGTCACCAGTCCGGTATTCCGACTGTCTGCATTGGGACGACCGCGAGCAGGATAATGCCGCTCTTAGGAAAAGCCTTTGGGTTGAGCTGGAACTCCGCTCACCTCATTCATGTATACTTGTATAGACAACTAAAAGTTTGAACTCAACCTATTCCTTCATTTCTGTCAACGTACTATTCCTATTATGAAGAATCATGCGATTGACGGTGAGAGATTCAAATACACGTACGTGCGTTTGTTTACAAAACGGCTCTCATGGGTCCAATTGAGTGTATTTCTGACCACCTGCGGGCTTCTTTTTGGAGATTGTAGTGCGCTTCACAACATTTTAGGAAATACGGTTTACAGTTGTGCCCCGTTTATCCGAACCTAAGAACATTGGGCTTATAGCTCACATTTCTGGGGATATTTTAGTCTGATCTTTTTAGGCTATTCATATTTGTATTTTAATATTCTACCAGGGGTATGGCAGCAATGTTACACGAATGTTCAGTTTCAGAAATTATAAAAGTCATTTTGAGTATCTTCTTTGGGTTTTAATGAAGCTGAAAAATATTATTTTATTTGCATATTCAATCAAATAAAATCCCATTTGTCATTCTTAAACCCTATTTAGAAATGTACATTTGGATATGTAAGGTGAACAGATTGTAATAATGAAGTTAGAATATGTCTTTTACAAATTTTGTTCTCCTTCTTTTAATTGTTTCAAAGAGTTTACTTCATTAAACGAAATGAATTAAAAAAGAACCCCATCAAAACGATATACAAGTGCTTCGATGATATTAAGTACCATTAAATTCAAATAGGGATAGATATTTTTTCCAACGTATGTCATTGTATATTGCATCATATCAGATCTATCATGTTGTATAATGCGCCACAACCAACATATCATGTTGTATATTGCATACACATCCGACATATTATGTTGTATATAGCACCACATCCAACATGTCATGTTGTATATTGCGAAAACATCCGATATATCACGTTGTATGCAGCGCCACATCCAACATACCATGTTGTACATAGCGCCACATCTGACATATCATGTTGTATAAAGCGCAACACCCGGCATACCATGTTGTACAAAGTGTCTTATCTGACATATATTGTATATAGGTCTTATCTAACATATTTTGTATATAGGTCTTATCTAACATATGTTGTATATAGTACCACATCTGGCATATCATGCTGCATCTTGTGTCACATGTAATTTGTATTGTATATTGCGCCACATCCGACTTATTGTGTTGTATATTGCGTCATACATCCGCCCTATAATATATGTTCCCAATGTTACATCTGTGAACCTACAAATACGTTAACTAATTAATCAATACATAGGTAAAACAAAGGTAGTATATAGAAATGGTGGATATCTTACGAAATCAGAAAAATGGTTCTATAATGGAAACCAAATGAATGTTGTATCACACTTTAAATATCTAGGTATTATTTTTACCACGAAATTGATATGGTCGAAGACATGTGAAACAATAAGTCTTCAAGTCAAAAAAGCCTCGTTCCCTATATTTAAAATGTTTAAAGATTTTGCAAATATATCTTTGAAAGTTGATTCAGCTAAATTCGATAGTAAGATATCCCCAATATTATTGTACGGTGGTGAAATCTGGGGGCTTTCATATCGTCCTCACATTGAGAAAATCCAATGCTTTTTTACAAACGTTTTCTGTGTGAAATAAAAAATGTTTCTTCCAATACTGTACTTGGAGAAATTGGAAGAACTCAATTATGCGTTAAATATTACGGCAGATGTATCAAATATTGGTGCAGAATACTACATGTGGACGATAATCGACATTCTAAATCATGTTATGAAATGTTAAAGCTGCAAGACGATAGTGGCAGCTGCAACTGGGTTACGCATGTGCGTCTACTTTTACTCCGAACTGGATTTTCTTATCTTTCGATTACAGAGGAATGTTGGAATATTGAAACGTTTATGAATGAATTTAGACAAAGATGTCAAGATACTGACATTCAAAATTGGCACTCTAGGATAACATCATGATCTTTTCTAAAAGACTATGGCGCAATCAAGTCCGCCCTGGAACCTGAAAAATACAAATAGGAACTTTGTCATAACAAGGACCTTATCATTTTATGCAAATTCCGCTGTTTAAGCCATAAGTTGAATGTTCAACAACAACGTTAATGATAAAATATAAATTCCAATTTACTGATATGTGACAAATGTGATTTTAATGTTACACAAGATGAATATTTTACTTGTGTGTCCATTCTATTCTGTACACAGAAAACTGTATTTACCAAGTAAATTATTACCATACGACTCCATCAAGCTTAAAATTTAAACAACTTTTAAGAACAACAAATGTACATTTATTGGTCTATTGCAATATTTCTAAAGCGTAACTTGCCTGTATGAAAATGAACTAATGACATTGTGTTATCTGTCCATCCGCACAATATTGTTTTACAAGTTTGTACTCTTGTCCATGCGGCCTCAAATGCTGAAATAAACTTCTTCATCTTCATCTTTTTCTGTCTGTCTGCCTGATGTAAAACAAACATTGTAAATATTCAGCGTAGTCAGTGTTCAGCTCATGACATATACACATGTTCGAGTAAATAAAACCAAATGACTTGGAATAGTTGAAGATCAGTGCATACCAATACTATTCCAATTGAAATAGATACCAATACAGAAATTGGCTTGTTTGTGTTGCGTGTGCTGCATTTGTGTAACGTATGGTCATTACTGTATTATTGTACTGTATTATTGTACTGTCATTGTTGTACTGTCATTATTGTACTGTCATTATTGTACATTATTGTACTGTCATATTGTACTGTCATTATTGTACATTGTTGTTCTGTCATTATTGTACTGTATTATTGTACTGTCATTATTGTACATTATTGTACTGTCATCATTGTACTGTCTTATTGTACTGTCATTATTGTACTGTATTATTGTACTGTCATTATTGTACTGTCATTGTTGTACTGTCATTGTTGTACTGTATTATTGTACTGTCATTATTGTACTGTCATTATTGTACTGTATTATTGTACTGTATTATTGTACTGTCATTATTGTTCATTATTGTACTGTATTATTGTACTGTCATTATTGTACTGTCATTATTGTACTGTCATTATTGTACTGTATTATTGTACTGTCATTATTGTACTGTATTATTGTACTGTCATTATTGTACATTATTGTACTGTATTGATGTACTGTATTATTGTACTGTATTATTGTACTGTCATTATTGTACTGTATTATTGTACTGTCATTATTGTACATTATTGTACTGTCATCATTGTACTGTCTTATTGTACTGTCATTATTGTACTGTATTATTGTACTGTCATTATTGTACTGCCATTATTGTACTGTCAGTGTTGTACTGTCATTGTTGTACTGTATTATTGTACTGTATTATTGTACTGTCATTATTGTACTGTCATTATTGTACTGTATTATTGTACTGTCATTATTGTACTGTCATAACTTTTCATTATTGTACTGTCATTATTGTACTGTATTATTGTACTGTCATTATTGTACTGTCATTATTGTACTGCCATTATTGTACTGTATTATTGTACTGTCATTATTGTACTGTCATTATTGTACTGTCATTATTGTACTGTATTATTGTACTGTCATTATTGTATATTATTGTACTGTATTGATGTACTGTATTATTGTACTGTATTATTGTACTGTCATTATTGTACTGTATTATTGTACTGTCATTATTGTACTGTCATTTGTTGTACTGTCATTATTGTACTGTCATTATTGTACTGTCATTATTGTACTGTGTTATTGTACTGTATTATTGTACTGTCATTATTGTACTGTATTATTGTACTGTCATTATTGTACTGTATTTCGTCGTAAGGTTCGTGTTGCTAACTATAACAAACAAACCATGGAGACATTTCGTTATGAAATACTTTTAACTGTGTAAACTATTAAAAGTGACAGCGCCAAATCAGTTATATCTGGGGGAAAGTGAAACAGACAATCGATATATCCATTTTCTCATGGCATGGAAGAATAGTGTACCAATAAAGTCATAGAACTAGCAGGAGTGATAATGGCTGTAACGGCTTAATGTTCACGCCTTTTCTGGTCGTAACGGCTGTAGAGCCACCTGTGCGAATATATATAATACATTGACGACATTGAGTGAAGAAAGAATGAACTAGACTACCAATCTACTTGCGACGTGATATTGTACAATTCAGGAAAACACCTACGTGCCATATATTCAGCCGGACTAAATTCAGTTGCATAAATATTTTGGATAGGATCCAAGCTATGACGCAATTCCCTGTTTTCACTGATACCACACTTTACCTGATCTATTGTTCAGGTGGACATTTGCATAAGTGGTACCTGACACGCCCACCTTTGAGCGAACACGTGGTATCATCACTATTTGATAGTGCCTCAAAGTTTGGTCGGCATTGTACAATCGACTCTGCTTTGAGCATAAATTTCTTACGGATGTGGAAAGGGTTTTGTCGTTTATATTACGACCCGATGTAAACAATCAAATCTTTATTCCCAGTTTACTTTGGAGATTTAAAAGTCGCTTCTTGATGTTGGGTATTAGACTCTTGCTGTATTTGATGAAGGTGAAATCCTGACTCCAAGGTGCAAAGCTCTGACTGTCGTATTTCTCCCGATAATGATGCAATAGAGCGACCTCTGGGCTGACTACATACATCGCCCAGTCAGGAAGAAACTTTTCTATGCCATGAACATGAATCAGATCCACAGCCTCGGGTTTCACAAGAAGTTTTGTTCTGTATCCTGGACCTTTTATGTGTGACCTGTTTGTATGCAGAAATGCCTTCATTTTGAACTTTTTGGCAATCTTTTTTTCAGAAAACATGTATTTTGTCTCATTTTCATAGAGTGAAAAGAACGTGTTTTGGAACATAAGAGCTCCGTATACTTTTGGAGAACGTGGATCTTTTGTATTCAATAGTCTGTCAGCCAGATCTACCAATGAAACGTTATTCTTAGGCACAACAATTTCATCAACATCAGCAAGAAGAACGTATTTGGCCATTCCAAGCTGAGAGAAGACACAGTCATGCATACTCGCCATCTGTCCCCAGTAGTGGATTTCCTCTGGGGGAAAGGGCAGCCTCCAGTTCCTCATCTCCACAATTCCTTGTCTCTCATATTGCAGCAAGACCTTGTTGACCTGTTCTGGTATGCTGTAGTTGTAGAAGATGAACTTGTCTGTCCCGAAGTATCTGTTGGTCTCCAGTGCCGTGACTAGTGTGTTGACGTCGGTGAAGTTCCCATGCACGGCAGGGTAACATCGGGTGAGGTTGTTATAGGGGGTCCGGGGTAGTTGACATGGAGGACGTTGATTAGAGAAGACATCCGGGTTGTGAGGACTGAAATGAACGCTGGGTAGGTGTTTGGAGGTACTGGGCAGTGAACGAATCCACATCGATTCCTGATAAAGAAATGTGAATTGAACGAGAATAAGGTAATTGTAGTAGATATTTTTGTTTTGTTCTTTTGTTTTCTTTTCAGGTACGTTTTTCGTTTTAAGGGTCCATTTTGACCAAGAATGAGGAGAAAATATAATGTCAGGCATCAAAAGTATTGGTGTCTGATAGGGCAGTTTGGGTAGCCTGGTGGTTAAAGCGTTCAGTCGTCACGCTGAAGACCCGGGTTCGATTCCCCATATGGGTGAAGTGTGTGAAACCCATTTATGGCGTCCCCGACGATATTGCTGGAACATTGCTGAAAGCGGCGTGAAACTACACTAGCTCACTCACTCACTCACTCACTCAGCCTGATAACGACAATTTACAAATACATGCTCGTTACATGTGAGGTGCAGCAAGAAAAACGCTAGTCACTGGCACTTCAAACAATATGTGACTTTAGAGCGAAACGAGAAACAGAGAAGGAATTCTCACCGTTTGACCACATTTCTTTAAAAAATTCTTTGTGCGTATGTCTTTATTTGACTGCTTTTACTGATCAGGAAATTTTTCGGGTTTAGAAAACTGGGAAAGAATGCTGAAGTTTAACATGGATACCACACTAAAACTAAACGTATACGGACTCAAAGACTGATACTTACCTGTAAGTACCCCATCTACTTGGGGATGTGCTGGAACTGACCTTTCACCTTATGACCAAGATGTGACCTTGACCTTATCAGTTTGCAGATGAAAGAGACAGGCGTGAATGGTGCCGGAACTAGGACAAGTGTCCGCACTGACGATTTGGCAATTTCGTATATGGCAGAATATGTAAAAAATTCGTACATCCACTTGCTGAAACTCGCCTTGGTACGGCTTCCTTGGGGAAAGGTGTTATCAAGAGCATCTTCTCTTAAACTGGCATTAAAACCCCTTTGATGGCCTTTTTTGACTGTTTCGGGCATTTTGTAAGCATCTTCTTTTTAGCACTGGTTCAATTCGCACAGATGCGATAATCTGTCGAGCAATGATACTCGGCATCGTCGGAAGGCCAAGATACTTGTCGATAGAGTAAATCAGTGCTGTTCTTTTGTAAACAAGGCGATTGTAAATACTGCCAGACATCTAACGTGCTTGGTTGTCATGTTCTGAAAAAGAAGAGTAAACACTGCAAAAATTGATTCACATCACACAATAAGCTCTCAGGTACAAGTGGAGATACCGTATTTCAGGTATCTGAAAGAGTTGCAGAAGAAAATAAGTATTAAACGTTAAATGGTGGTTTTGCTTTGTGGTATTGTGACCTATTCTTGACTTGGACTGAATACTGTAATTAAGGAAAGTGCCAATATAAGGATTGAAAAGCCGAGTCTATGTTAAGACTCAAGTCTTACGTGAATTACGACCACTTGAGGGTTAAGATCCCTTTGTGCCACGGTACCCTGATCCATAACACCATGACACGGGTTATACACGATGATATAATAATAATAATAATAATAATAATAATAATAATAATAATAATAATAATAATAATAATAACAATAATTGATTTTCAGATCAGGATAGTGCCCGGGTTCTCCACCGAGCACAGGCCTTCTGACACTCTGGGTAATGCAGAAGGCTGCAGTGTTGGGGAGCCTTCATATTCTCCGGAAAGTTCTTGGTGGGTTCGACTAGGCAGCGTTTCCTGGGAGAAGTCCCATTCGCTGTCTGGGCTGCGTGTAGAAGGGGCAAGGGCCCTGAGCTGATGATGAGCCTTACCAGCCTGACTGTGCCAGGATCACCCGAACCCTCTCTGCTGCATACTATCTTTAATCTGTAAAACATAATTGATTTGTAGAGCGCCTATTTCCAAAAGATATTGCTCAATGGCGCTATAAAGAGGAAAGATTGTAGACAATGTCTATGGAAAAGAGAGTTTGAACAGATGAAATAAAATATTAGCATGATTTGACTTTTTCATTTGAATAAGAATTACATGTGTGATTAGCATTTGTTTCTGCGGGAATCATTCTACCATAGAATATCACTTGGCTTTTGAATGCATTGCCATAAAGTCCTACTTTTTTTTCTACAACTGACTGACTGACTGACTGAGTATGGTTTTACGCCGCTTTTAGCAATATTCCAGCAACATCACGGGTGGGGGACACCAGAAATGGGCTTCACACATTGTACCCATGTGGGGATTCGAACCCGGGTCTTCGGCGTGACGAGCAAACGCTTTAACCATTAGGCTACCCCACCGCCCCTTTTTTTCCTACGAAGATGTACACAGGTGTAAAAAATGTCCCATAGGAGCTGGACAAGGATGCTGTATTCAGCGTCATGGACAACCTTAAACATAAACATACAAACATAGATACAAATAATCAAGCTGTAAACAAACCCTTGGAAACGTGTACTCAGAGCGGAGTGATGGTAAGGTCGCGTTCAAGATTCACATATATATTTGTCTTCAGCACCCCATGCTTGTCGTAAGAGGTGATTAACGGGATCGAGTGTTCATGGTCGCTGACTTGGTTGACACGTCATCATATTGTGCAGATCGATGCTCATGCTGTTGATCACTTTATTATATGCCCCAGAGTCGATTATTTGCAGACCGACGCCATTTAGTTGAAATATTGCTGAGAACAGGAAACTATATATATGTATATTAATTGATTAATGTATTCGAAGAAAACGTCTACTGATCATGGTTATGTCTATTGACAAAAGTTACACCAGATATCACACACACACACACACACACACACACACACACACACACACACACACACACACACACACACACACACACACACACACACCACCACCACCATCCACACACATTATTTCTACGCTCTAAGCACCATTTCTACGCGATCTCACTAGAATGTGTCGCCTGTAAGAGGTACATACCAACATTTTATAACCCTCAGATCATTTAAATTTCGGTGGCTTGCCGCATGTGAAAAAAGTCTACAGGTACTGTTCTGACAGAATTTAATGAAGCCTGGCTCCTGATTAACTGACAAAGACGCCAACTGCACGGCTATTGCGTCAGATTGGAGAGCTCAAACATGTACATCTGTGGATAAAGTCAACACTACACTCACTACAGTCGGCTCAGAGTGATCTGACGACCTTTCGCGTTTCAGGTTAGGTTTAATAGATCATATGGCTACAGTATTTACACACCCCATGTCTAACTCTACTTAACATGCAAACTGCAAATGCACATGAATAATATAAATGCATATATGACATAGAAACTAATTGATGTGACAGTATTGTTTAAATGAAATGCAGGTTTCATGTATAGAATAAGAGTTTTACTTGAGCTTCCTTGCCTCCATCAATGTGAGCAATATTGTAACTATATGGTCTGTAAGTAATCGAGTCTGGACCAGACATCCCAGTGGTAAGACGCATGATCATCCTGCTCAATTAGGTGAGTGAGTGAGTTTAGTTTTACGCCGCACTCAGCAATAGTCCAGTTATATGGCGGCGGTCTGTAAATAATCGTGTCTGGACAAGACAATCCAGTGATCAACAGCATGAGCATCGATCTGTGCAATTTGGGAACCGATGACATATGCCAACCAAGTCAGCGAGCCTGACCACCCGATCCCGTTAGTCGCCGCTTACGACAAGCATGGGTTACTGAAGTTACATTCTAACCCGGAACTTCACGGGTTACACAATTAGGATGTAATGACATGTGTCAACCAGTCAGCGAGCCTGACCACCCGATCCCGTTAGTCGCTTCTTACGACAAGCATGAGTTACTGAAGGCACATTCTAACCTGGACCTTCACGGGTTACACAATTAAGATGTAATGACATGGGTCAACCAAGTCTGCGAGCCTGACCACCCTGATCCCGTTAGGGCTACGATCAACATGGGTTGCTGAAGAACAATTCTAACCTGGATTTTCACGGGTACAAAACTGGATGAAATATGACAAGAACTTTACTCAGTCGAGACTTCCATGGTCCCTAGTATGGTGATCTACCTTCAGTTGTTGGCAATCTGTAGCCTGTTTTTATATGGTATTGTCATGTATAGTTAAAATATTTTAGATTAAATTACTAGTTTTAAATTTATATCTGTGATATTCTAGTTGTTTTACTGTCTTTCGTTGACAGAGTTTTATAATTTACCTTTAATTGTTAACATATTTATAACTTGATTTAGTCACGACATGGCTCAAATACTGCCGATGTGACTTAAAATCTTAACTCACTCACTCACTCAGTCGACACTTAATGGACGACAGGTAGGTAGATTGTATGAGTTCAAACAAAAGTTCACTGCTGTACCTTACTGACTATACCGCCTCCATGGTGTAGTGGTTAGAGCGTCCGCCCGGAGGGAGGAAGGTCACGGGTTCGATCCCTGGCCGCGTCATACCAAAAGACGTTAAAATTTGGTACTTGTTGGTCCCTGCCTGACGCTCGGCATTAATGGGTACAACAAGGACTGGTCTGGTCGGAGTCAGTATAATGTGATTGAGTGGGGTATTCATGCTTAACTGCGGCATGGTGTCTCTCAGTGGGCTAGCACTATGAAACCCCAGCTTACGTCTGTGCTGGTACAAGCAGCTCGTCACGCACATATACCCCTACATGCATGTCGTCATATGATATGCGAAAACTAAACTCACTATTCTTAAGTGCGACGTTAAACCCCATTTCACCTCAACTCACCCTTGTCCTCAACCAGGACTCCATTGGTTAGCATCGCACTGCCACACTATCCCGTTGCAGGTATACAAGGCAATCCATATGAAATATTCATTTTACACTGTGGCCAGCATTCATAAAACGATGTATTATTATGTTCGTAAATTTCAATCAACTATATTACCATCACTGCATAAAATAGTGTATTTCCATATGTTCCTTCATGTTTGAAATAAGGAACCTATTCCCAGAGCCGACATAACCTATGGAAAAATGATGCTGGCACGTGTACCTGTGTTTTATGTTTGGAATGTGTGGTCACTTGAACTATTTCTACGCA